TGTACACTAAGGGTAGATTAGTCCTTTAATCTTTTTAGTATAAATATATCCTTTAGGGTGTCAACTGACACATTGTGTCACACCCGTCAATCTGCTGTGTTTTCTTCTCTCTCTCTGACTTCTCGATCTGACTCTAACATGGTATTAGAGCAGGTCATGATCTAATCTGCATATAACCTCTTCATAACCCCTTTCTTCTCTACTATCTAGAGTACTCCCTAACAGTATTTTGGAGGTTCTCGAGTGCTCTTAAATCCCTTATCTGAGGTTGCATTAGATCAGAACTCTATAGACACTTTTATTGGACTGTTGTGCCATCAGATTTCTCTTTTTTATTGGATCTCCCTCTAGAGGCATCGGATCAGGCTGAAACTTTGGATCTAGTGTTGACCAGAGCAGATCTACTAAGTCTAATTGGTTTGGTTCGAATTGGATTTGATTTAGAAGGGTTTTGAGCCACTTTTGAGTTCAGTAAACCCTTACAGTTTCCTTTTCTAGACGTCAGCTGAAAGGTACCTCTTTCTTTCATCTGTTTTGAACCCTACTCTTTGTGGTTTTCTTGCTCTTGTAATTCAATGGCATCAGAAAGGATGCAAGTTCTCCCTATTAAGTTTAACAGTACGAACTATGCACTTTGGAAATTTAATTTTCAATTTCATGTGGAGGCAAAAGGTCTCTGGGGATATCTGGATGGATCTGTAGTTAAACTTGATGATTTAGACATTAAGGGTCTTAATCAGTGGAGAATTGATAATGGGAAAATCGCATCATGGATCCTAGGATCGGTTGAAATTGATATCGTAATTCCTATGAGAGGATACATGACTACCTATGAGATGTATGAGTATCTCGAGAAAGTATATCAGCAATCGAACACCTCGAGATAGTACTAGATAGAGGTTGACATCTTCTCATATGATCAAGGAGAGAGGAAGGTCTTGGAGTATTATGCTGGGTTTATTAACCTTTGGGCAGAGTATGAGCTTGTACACTTGGGAAAGGATCCATTAGAATGTTGTGTGAAGTATATGAAGGAACATTTTGATAAAAGGAAGATTATGCACTTCCTAATGCATCTCAAACCTAGGTTTGAAGTTGTTAGATTTAATATCCTAAGCCGAGGAATGCTTCCTGACCTAGATACTATTCTTGGAAAAATTCAGAGGGCTGAAACCAGATTTTCCACACAGACTACTCTGGATGGAAGAAAAGAGTCCAACATTGATACTGTCTTCCTAGTAACAAAACCAAAGGGGAAGAATGACTTCTCTTAAGTACAATGCTATGAGTGTAAGGAGTTCGGGCATGTTGTCTCCCACTACAAGAAAAAGAATACCTGCACTTACTGTAAGTAGTTCAGCCATATTATTACTGAAAGCCCCACTCGGCCTCAGAAAGGCAGTTGATCAAATCAGAAGAAAGGAAGCTACAAGGCTTATCAAACTTCTGTAGATGGATCAAATGCAATATCCTCCATTACTTCTGTGGCTGGCCAAAATGACACTTCAGGTGGCATGTCTAAAGAACGGATTCGATAGCTCGTCCTCGGTCATCTCTTCAGCCTTCTATGCTATTGGTCTATTTGGCAAGTCACTAACCTATTGTCCCTCACCGAATCATCTCTGGTATGTTGACTTAGGAGCCTCTAACCATATGAGAGGGGCCACACTTGGTCAGTGTCCCAAACCCCATCTTCCCAATAAATACATTGTTACTGATAATGGTGAGAAATTAGATATACTTGGATGTGATGAATTGTATTTATCTACTTCTAAGTTATCTCTATTTCATTTATCCAAAACTTTATTTGTACCTAAGTTTACCACCAATTTAATTTCTATTGGCCAACTTGTAGAAGAAGGTAACAATGTCTCATTCACTTCTGATGGTTGTTTGATAATAGGACCAGCAAATTGGGGAGGTGAAAGGGAAGGGGCGTAGAGTAGGAAGACTATTTGCTTTGGAATTTGAGAAGAATAAGACTGCACATGCTTCTACTTCGTGTTTGATTTCTACTACTAGTTTTGAATCTATTAACTGTAATAATGATTGGCACTTATGGCATAAACACCTGGGCCATCCATTCCCTAAGAAACTTGATTAGTTATTTTCTTCTGGTAGCTTACTTGTTTCTACTGTTTCCTTTAAGAATGTGAATAAAGATTGCATCACTTATGGTTTATGTAAGAGTCATATTTTACCTTTTCCTTCTCACTTTGAGCATACAACAGTTCCTTTTTATTTAATACATAGTGATGTCTGATCGTCTCCAGTTGTCTAACGGCTAGGATATAAGTACTTTGTGACCTTTATTGAGGATTGCACCTGTTTCACTTGGGTTTATTTCCTTCGAAAGAAATCTGAAGTATACATAGTATTTAAACACTTTCACACCTATGTTACTACCCAATTTGATGCTTGAATATGTGAAGAAGTGTGCTACGATCGGATTTAGGGGAAGACTATATTGATGGAAATTTCTAAAATTATTTAAAACAACATGGAATTCAACCCCAAAAGTCTTGTCCAAGAACCCCACAACAAAACGAGGTAGCAAAAAAGGAAGAATGGGCATATCTTGAGTATAGTCAAAACACTTATAGGATTCCCATGTACCCTCTTGGTTTTGGGTGGAGGCGGCCAGCATTGCTGTGTATCTCATATATTGTCTTTCGTCATCTGTTTTGAATAACTCTTCTACTTTTCAATTTCTCTTTCACAATTCCCCAGACCTATTCATGCTTAGGGTTTTTGGTTGTGCTTGTTTTGTCCATCTCCCACCTCATGAACGCATGGAGTTAACTACACAAACAACTTTGTGTGCCTTTATGGGGTACACTTATGAACATAAAGGGTTCCTTTTCTATGATCCTTCGGTTCGTTGTCCTAGAATCTCTCGTAATGTAGTTTTTCTTGAAAGTGTGTCATTCTTTGAGCATATTGTAAAATTCCTAGCTGCTTTCATTTCCTTGTTGCACAGTTTTGATTTTATAGGTACCTCGGACATTCCTTTGTCAACCCCACAACAACTTTAGATCTACTTCAGGAAGCAATAGTCACTCCAGTTGTCTCAGTAAGTGTACTTAACCTTCCCCTGAACCTATTGTTCCCACTCTACGCCGTTCTTTTAGAATTTCTCACCCACCTGACCGTTATGGTTTTTCACTTGACCATAGCTATTTTTTTGCCATTTTATCTACCACAGACATTCCTAGATCTTACCAGTAGGCTATAACAGAACCACACCGGAAAGATGCCATGGATTCTAAGATTCGAGCCCTTCTTGAGAATGACACCTGGGACTTGGTTAAAGCTCCACTTGAGACATCTCTCATAGGAAGTAGATGGGTCTACTTTGTGAAACTAAAATTTGATGGAAGCCTAAATAGATACGAAGCTAGGCTGGTTGTACAAGGCTACAAATAGGAATATGGGATATACTATGAGGAGATTTTTGCTTCTGTAGCTAAACAGTGGACAATCCATCAGATGGATGTCAAGAATGCTTTTCTCTAAGGGGAGTTGAAAGAGACAGTCTATATGAAGCCTTCTCCTGGATATTGTACAGACCTACAACATGTTTTTCGTCTAAAGAAGTCACTTTATGGCCTGAAGCAAGATCCTATGGCCTGGTTTGAGAAGTTCAGACCTGTCATCACTGATGTTGGCTTTATCCAGAGTTCTTCTAATTATTCTTTATTCATCTTAAGGCGGATGTAGGGAGTAACGATATTACTCCTCTATGTCGATGACATTTTCATTACAGGAGATGATACAAAAGGAATTTCTAGGCTACAACAATTACTCAGTGAGTCCCTTAAGATGAAAGAGTTGGGGCCTTTGACATACTTCTTGGGACTTGAAGTGAGTAAAAACTCTGGGGCCTACTTTATTAACCAACGAAAGTATGTGGCTGATCTTGTCAAACTGGCAAATCTTAGTGACTCTAAAATTGTGGATATCCCACTAGGACTAAACTTGAAACTCAACAAAGATGATGGTTCTCTCCTTGAAGATCCTACCCTTTATTGTTAATTAGTGGGCAGTTTGATATATCTCACCATGACTCGGCCAGATATATCTTATGCAGTTCAGATAGTGAGCCAGTTTGTGTCTTCCCTAAGACAACCTCATTTATCTGTAGTTCATCGTATCATTAGATATGTGTGAGGCACCTTGTCACACAGGATATTCTTCTCTTCCTCATTCTCTATTAGCCTTATAGCTTATGCGGATGCTAATTGGGTTGGATGCCCTAACATCCAATAGTCTACTACTGGCTGGTGTGTATTCTTAGGCAACTCTCTTATCTCGTAGAAGTGCAAGAAATAAGCTATTGTGTCCAAATCTTCTACTGAAGCTGAATACAGGGCTATGTCTTCCATGTGTAGTGAGATCATATGGCTTCGGGCTCTTCTATTTGAAATACTTCATGAACCACCACCGTTTGTTCCTCTCTATGCAGACAATGTTAGTGCAATTAAAATTGCTCCCAACCCTGTCTTCCATGAGCGCACCAAACACATAGAAGTTGATTGCCACTTCATCCGCGACCTCCTTCTTGAGGGTACCATATCTCTTCCTCATGTCTCCTCCGGGCTCCAACTAGTAGACTTGTTGACTAAAGCAATGACTCGAGCTCGGTATCTATTTCTCATGGACAAACTGATGCTTATTCCTAGGTATCAGTTTGAGGGGGAGTGTAGAGACTGTGAGAAGATCTAGCCGCAGGGCTATTTTTGTACTTTTACCATTTTTTTGTTGTATAACTATCCTTTGTACACTCTTTCTTTTGTACACTAAGGTCAGTTTTGTCTTTTTACCTTTTTAATATAAATATATCTTTTAGGGTGTCGACTGACACATTGTGTCACACCTACCAATATGTTGTGTTCTTTTCTCTCTCTCTCTTTGACTTTTCGATCTGACTCTGACAAAAACTACTAAGACATAAGACTTCGGAATATGTATTATGTAATATCACTTTATAGTTTAAATAATCAGGCAAGTACCTAAGATTAGAAAGACAATTAATCAAATTAGTATGGCATATATTTTAGTTGAGCAGGTCTAGCGTAGAGACCACCATGCATACCTCTAATCTCAACAAACCTATATGCACTCACAGGGAGAGATATGCATAGCCAATGATACCTTGTACAGATTTCTAAATCAATCAAAAATCCAAGTTCTGAATAGAAAATTACAAAGCATTATGATTTGTATAGAATGCAAAATGATACTTGGCTTACCCAATCAAGAAGTTGAACAAAATCCTCCTTTAGCAAATGACTTGTATTGCTCTTTCCACTGACAGTCTCTAACATGACAACTCCAAAGCTATAAACGTCTGCTTTGTCAGTCAAATAGCCCCTTGTTGCATATTCAGGTGCCATATATCCTCTACAATAAAAGGAAAAACAGAAAATTATGTTATATTATACAGCTTAGAGCCCGCATTTATATACGATACGGGTCGATACGTGTCGTGTCTATGGCTTCCCAATACGCCCCTCCAGGGGTTGTATCGGGTCAGACCATGGTTCAGAGGGTAGTCGGGCCTTAAACCGACCCCTCTGAACCGGTTTCAAAAAAAAAACTAAAAAAGAGTACTGATACAGGCTGATACGCCCAACCGGCATATCGATCAGTGTCGATACTTTGAACCTTGGCAACATGGTATGCATATATCTGCACTGACACTGACACTGGATGGGACTTTACTTTTTGGCTGTATTTAATTTGATAAACAATAAAAGAGAAACAAAGAGTTGAGGAAAAGTTCTTATGGAACTTTGTCTCTTATTTTCTATCAAACCAGACATAGCCTTTGGGTATTAAGGTAGTAATTTTGTAACTGTCATTTTGCCAATGGTTTTAGCCTAAGACTAAAACCTACAAAGCTAGAAATTTCATATTAATAATATGATGCTTTAACTAATTGAGCTATAGGGTCTTGTGAGTTTTTTATTTATTTTTGTAGAGAACACTGATGTGAGCCCCACAGCTACGGTCCCACTGTGTTCGTAGGGTAGAAGATGTTGTAGTCTGCCTAGGGTTAGCTATTGATCATTTAGTTGTTTCAGTTGTTATTTATTTCAGTCTTATTTTTTGCTCTATTTGTTATGTAAAGACTAAGGGCAGATCTGTCCTTTCCATGTAATGAGCATAACCTATAAATATTATTTAAAGTAGCGGCGGCAGAACATTAAGCTTCTGCTCCTCCTTTCAACTCTTGTGTTCTACTGCTTCTCCTCCCTTTTCCTCTTTTTCCTTCTTACCTTTCTTCTTATTTTCGATCCTGAAATCCATTAGGGTTCAAGACTGATAACAGTCCTGAACTTCTACTATTTTAAATTTTAGATTTTCAGATTCTTGTATAATATATATATTTTAATTTTTCAGCATCAACATTTAACTTCTTTCAGGCATTTACCTTGCCTTGTACTTTGTGCCTTAGGCTCTAGGGATTCTTTACACTTTATTTGTGCTTCTTGCTTTTAAAACATTGCCTCAGATTAACAGCCAAAAAGCACTTAATTTAAAAGGAAAACAAATATTCCTGTGCATTTAATTTTATCATTATAAAGAAATATGTATTTTGTCTTTTCATTGTGCATGTGACTGATCACAAAAATGTAGGGGGTGTTAGCCAATAATCATACATATTGGCAAACAACCCTATTGTATTCCCAAATTAGAACCCTTTTTCAATTTTATCCATAAATGAGGCCTAGATGTAGGAGGATTGCATCAAGTTCGTATCCATCTGTACAAAAAGAAAAAAAAAAACAATAATCTGATTTGATAACAATGAGAAAGAAGAGAGAGAGAGAGAGAGAGAGAGAGGGTTCTTAGTGAGAAGAGAAGAGAAAGAGAAGAAGAGATGGGGAGAAACCAATAATGATCTGGCTGCCCCTCTCATTATCTTATATACTCATAATAAAGATTAATTACAAAGACTAATATGCCCTTACTAGGGCGGCTACTGCTAGTAACTTAAAAGCAGTCTCAAAAGGCAACACAAACTGATGGGCCTTGGGTCCAACACCACTAACTAATGGCCCAATGACACTAACTACTGATTTATGTACAAGAAAAGGCATAAAAAATGCTGAATTTCAACACCATCCAGAAGAATTCTCCCCATCCTTTCCAAGAATATTGATTCCTTATTCTATAAATTCATGCTTGTATGAGTTTTGGGCTTCAGGCCCTCAGCTAATGTCAAATGGTAGGGAGGTTTGTATAATTATATCCTTAAACAGTATGTAATAGGCTTGGAGATGATCCATGTAATTAGTTACTAGTGTATATTGAAAGACTGGTCGTATTATTCCAAACCTCATCACATGCAAAGAAGAAAAAAGTAGTGGGAATAAAACACATCACTCACATAGTTCCAGCTATTCGGGTGATGATATGGGTTTTCTCCTTTTCATCAAGTTTAGCCAAACCAAAGTCAGATATCTTAGCATTGAGATCCTTATCAAGAAGCACATTGGTTGTCTTTATGTCTCTGTGGACAATTTTCAACCTTGATTCTTCATGCAGATAAGCTAGACCCCTAGCCATCCCTAAGCAAATCTTATGCCTTGTTGGCCAGTCTAAGTTTGGTTGATGTTCCTCTTTTCCTACATAAAAACCAAATGTATTAAGAATATATATTGTTGGCTGAACCAAATAGAACAGGCAGTGGTAGTATTAAAAGGATATACTTTTTAATGGCTGAAAGAAGGACAAAGGGACTTACCAAAGAGAGCATGGGCAAGGCTATTGTTTTCCATATATTCATATATTAGTAGTAGTTGGTTTCCTTCAACACAACATCCGAAAAGCTTCACAAGATTTGGGTGTTGTAAAGCAGATAACATGCCTATCTCATTCATGAATTCACGGTTTCCTTGCATTGACTTAGAGGATAGCTGCTTGACAGCAATGGCTGTACCATCTGGCAGAATACCCTAAAAACAAAAATGCAAATTTGAGAACCTTGAGTTTATGGAAAAAATGAGCATATGAGACATGGCAAAGCAAAAGCAATAAAATTCGAAATTGCATCTTTTTTCATATGCAAGAATGGGATCATTGATCTTGAGGTTGCAAAACATATTTTGCCAAGTTAGAGCTGTCAATCCCAAGAACAAGACACAATGATGATAATAACAGGAAAAAAAGGATATACTCTCAATCCAGAATTACCTTATAAACTGGTCCAAAGCCACCTTCACCTATTTTATTTGCAGAGTCAAAATTCCCAGTTGCAGCTTTAATTTGTTTGAGAGTGAAATAACCTTTTTGTAGCTTTAGATGTCTAAGTTCTGCAAACCAGTGAAAGCTCATATTGAAGTTAAAAATATAATCTGAGAAAAGAATACTGCATTATTTTGGTGCTACAGGAGTGATGTGAAAAAATTTACATGGCTAACCAGGATTATAAGTTAAGGATACAATGGGTGAGGATATCAGCAAATGGGATGGCGGATGCTTTGGCTAAGTATGGGATGAATAGATCTATTTTATTCAGGGCACAATTCTAATGTGTTTTCTTTTTGTATGAGAGGTAGCAGCTCATGCCTTTCTAGGGGATGCTTGTAAAGATTACATAAAGTCTATTAATAAAACTCAAATTATTCTTCAAAAAAAAAAATACTGCATTAATCCTTCATGGATAATGATTTAAACAGAGACGGACACCTAATGGCATGTGACAACAGTGTCAACATGGACACACATGAACAATGTCTTATCTCTGTATAAGAAGATGATGAACAGTGTTTTGAAGGGTAATTTTGTCATTTTTAAAATATTTAATTTGCATATGTCATCATGTGATACATATAACTGACAGTAGGTACTAGATTGACACATTTTGAAAGTTCAGGTACTGAATTGTTGCATTTTAAAGTTTGGGGACCAAACTGGCACTAGGACCAAAGTACAGGGTACTAATCGGGAGTTTTCCCAAAAATTAAATAATTTTTATTTCAAAATTACAAAAAAAATAAATGTTTTACAAGAAATTTCAATAGATCTATGGATATGATAGATCACCCATAGATCTATGGCACAATTACTCTTCATTGGCGGATTACACCATAAATATAAAATTTTCTTTGTTTTTGTTATTTCATTTTTTTTGAATTTTCTTCAAAAAATTACATAGATCTATTTAAAGTCCAAAAAAATATAGGATTTTCAATACAGGGAGAGTATATCAATGTATATAGAAGCATTTTGAAGTATCAAAACAAAAAGAAAGCATAAAATATTGCTACTTATTATGAAATAAATTGAAAAAATACCTACCTTTGCAAATTTTGAAGGAAGTTGAAAAAACTTCAAAAATCTTGAGTTTTGAAGTTTGTTTTTGGGTCTTTTGTTAAAGATCTTGCAACCCAAGAATGTGTAGGGATGATTTGGTGAGTTTGGTAGAGAAAGAAGGCCTTTGGAGAGAGTTAGAAGTCTTTATTCTCAAAGGTTTTTAATTTTTTTTTTGCCTATAGTAAAGTTGTACTGTATCGGCTGATACACCTTGATACAGTTACAATATGGTCCCAATAGACCCCAATATGGCCCCGATACATCCCGATATGGTCACGATACGGGGTCAGCATAACGAAAAGACACGATATAAAGGATTTTGTAGTGTTTCCCATATCAACCCCTTAAAGATACAATATGTGACGGGCCGATACGTTGCGAAATTTTGAACCTTGGTAGTGATTACTGTAAAGTTAGATGGGACTAACTCTTTGGCTTGGTCTTAATAAAGGAAAAATGGGGGTACCTCACAGCTAGTAAGAAGAACCAAAGGAGGATGATCCTACTTATGAGAAGAGAATTTAAGAAAACTACACTGTTATAGGTTTGTTAGTAAATTTTGTGCAACCTCATATTAGCCAACACTATCCATCGATGGAAACGACAACAGAGATATGGGATAATGTTGCTGAAACTTATTCCTAAGGTTAAAGGTGGCTAGAGCCTTTGAGATGGAAAATGATGTGAACAACTTAAGATAGGGGAGAAGCCTTTGGGCGTGTACTTCTCAATGTTGAAATCTCTCTAGTAGGAGATTGATCTGATAAAGATTGTTGTGTGGGAGAGCAATAAAGATGCCAAAACTCACAAGAAGTTGGTAGAGATAAATAGGGTCTTTGAATTCCTCACTCGACTCTACTTAGAATATGACAGTACTAAACATAATATTCTATCGAAAGATGAGGTGACATTAATCTCAAGCCTATAATCTGGTTAGTAGTGAAGAAAGCAGAAGATAGGTTCAGGATTTGGAAGTGTTCTTGAACCTATAAGAGTTTTGGAGAGGAAGAAGGGAAACTTCAAAGAGAATGGACAGTAGAAAAATCTCTCTCTACCTGACCCTAATTGCTTTTATTAAGACATGATTTGAAGTTACATAAAAATAAAAAAATACCCTTGATTAATAAAACATGAAATGGATCCAACAGGCCCACACGTGTGACTCATCTACTACAACACTCCCCCTCATGTTGAGCATAAATGTCAGTCATGCCTAGCATGCTAAGTAGACCTTGAAACTTTGCTGAAGCAAGTTCCTTAGAAACATCAGCTAGTTATTACTTTGCAGGAGTGTATGGAATAACGTAGTTCCCCAGAAACAATTCCCTCATGCACAAAATGTCTATCAACCTCTATGTTTAGTCTTGTCATGTTGTACTAGATTTTTGGCAATGTTAATTGCAGCCTTGTTATCACAATATAACTTGAGAGGACCATCAGCATCAAGCTTCATTCACAACTCAGTAATTAGGATGTGGATTCTTGGGGTTATAATTGTTTTGAATGGGTGTGGATCCTTGGGCGCTATTTTTGGCTTTGTTTGGAAGGGATTTGGTGGGTGCAGACCCCTTTTATAAGTGATATTAACATTATAAAGAGTAAAATCACAGTAATGTCCATACTAAAGTAATAAAGAATTAACTTAATAACATTGACATCTATATCCTATGGTGCAGAATATATAACTTTAACAATGTGGAACACATTCCTACCAAAAATAAGGCCCTATCACATGAATTAGTTACAAAATTCTAAAATAAATGGTCAGGAAAACTGTATACTATATAAACTTTCTACTAATATACAAAAGCCAAAATCATTCCCAAATAAATAAATAGATAAGTTGAAAATTCATTTATCGTACCTTCGTCCTCAAGGTATTTTCCTTTCTGGTGACATTTCACCCAAACAAACATCACAATCAATACAATAACCATGCAAACAGCAGCTACAACTCCAAGAGTAGCTCCGATAGAATGTCCATGATCAGGATCTACAACATGAAACGATCACTATGGTGAGATTGTTGAGAGGGGAAACCAGGAAAGAGGCCGAGTCATCAAACGTCCAGATAAACTTACTACGTGTCACTGCTATGGCTGATATAAGGGGTCCATATACACCTCTGGCTGGAACAAAGGTAGTGCCTTTTCCTGCCCAGTACAAGTGAATCTCTAGAGTGCTACCACTAACAATGATGTCATTAAATTCCCTAACAGTGTCTCTACCAAAACCTTTAGCTTCTTTGGCAATATTGAAATCTTTCAGTCGCATCTGACCCTGCAAGAAGCAACAGCACATCAGAAGTTTCATCAAGATAAGAACTGTCATCATTATTCTTCAAATACAAAGCATAATTGAACTCAAGAAGTTAAATATATGTTCTATTTTTCATAAACAAAAGGAAGAAACTAAATGCTATCTTCTGTTGGAAATGATTATCAGCACTCAGAGATGACATCAGTGACTCTATGAATGATGGCAATTTATACTAATAAAAAATGAATGCTGGGAATTTTCAACTCACTCACTTGAATTAATACATCAAAAATGCGCTCCCCAACACTGTTAAATGTATGGTCATCTGTATACATAATTTCAGCAAAGTGGAGTTTCACTGTATAGACTCCCTTCAGTAAGCAAATTCCATAGTACCTAAGTGACAGAGGGGCAAGACGAGCTGTCCTGTATATTTCTGGAACAGTCGTGTTCAGTGCATTGTTCGAGGTAATGTAATTAGTAATGTTAGTTTCCAAGTAATCTCCTGTGGTACTACAAGCCCATTTCTCACTAGGTTGGTAGAAGTATGATGGACCCATCTGTGCTGAGTCATCTTCATATTCCTCCCCAGCAAATTCCTTCATTGGGCCACCACAATTAATGAACAAGGAATGATCTACATTTGTAACATGAATTCCATTCAATCGCATTCACAAGTACCAATTCTTTCATGGGAATGGTAAAATATAGCACCAAATATATAAGAACTCAAGGATCTCATAAATGGAAAATTACTTAAAGAGATTACTTACACTTGGATTTACTAGAGCATGGAAGGTCCTTCTTGAAGCACCACTCCATTCTACAGAAGTTTTAAGGACACATATGTCAACATGGTTCCTAAGTGAAGTAAATATAATTCTAAAGAGCTAGGAACTTACGAATTGTTCTTTGAAGATGAATAACTGGCAATCATATTCCTGTTAAACAATATGAAGAGGAAGGTTGTAAGAGAAAGGAAAAAAAATGGGACAAGGAACTAATAAATATCAAATATGGAGAGACTCACATGCTTGGTTGTTTTTTACAGTTCAGAATTGACTCTCCTGTAAAATTGTTGTAAGATATGTCACTGCAAGAATTATCTAACAAGTGTTACAGTAATGAATTTCTTGATGGAACAATGGCCTAAATGGCTAGTAGGAGATATATGGGGTAAAAACTAATTTAACAAAATGAAATAAGGTTTCAAGCTTGCAATAAGAAATACTCACAGATTCCATTTGCTACTCGTATGCACCACCCAATCTGGTACTGTTCCAGATAGTGAGTTGCTGCTGAGATACCTACATATGCATAAATATTATTATGTCTACCTTGTAATTAAGGTATCTACGTATGAAGGAATGCCAATAAATGGTTAAATGCAATAAAAAATAAAAGAACAGGACTTTGAAAATAAATTTAAATTTCTAATGTAAAAAAATTTAATTTTGATTATTTCCTACATGATGATTTACATACAAATATTGTAAATATCGCAATTTATTGAAGCTTTCCGGAATTGGGCCAGTCAATTTGTTGAAGGTCAGGTCTCTGCAATGATAAAGAATCAAGTTATGGTGAGAATCAAAAAATGAGAGGAAGCATATCTTCATAGTTTAATAGACAAGAAACTCATGATACATGTACATATTGGATAAGCCATCTGTAGAATACAAGGTTATCATTACATTCCTAATGCATTATATTTAAGTAAACTAGAACACAGTTGCGAAATATTCCCTGAGCATTTTGGCCTGGAAAAGTAGGTTATCACCTAAGTCAATACATACAGACATACATAAGATTCTTGAATAACCTTCCTGGTTCAAAGTAACAAAGACATGTGAACGTACAAGAAGAAGATTGAGAGAGAATAGGATTCTGAGAAAGATTTTCTTCAATTCTCATGCCCTTCTTTCATTAGAACATATATTAATTTGATGAAATTACAAAAAGGCCATTAATTATGCACCTCATTTGCAGCCTATGAACAATTACAATGTTGCCCTCAACATTCGTAAAAGATCACAAGAGTCTGAATACAACCCCATCTTGATTAAACTCAACTATCATTTGTCAAAATTTGTGTTCTTATTGCAACTGTAATAGGATGTCTGTTCAATGCATGATCTTAATAATCAGGACCTGTAGGATTGTTAGTAATTTTTTACAGACACTGCTGTCTGATTCGTTCATTGGGAACTGGGCCAAACTTCCCGTCTGATTACATTCATTCCATCACTATAATTCTGTAGAATCCACAATCAGAATATAGACAGGAGACGCTTAAAGATTGTAGCTATGATATATATTTCAGGAATTCTCAGAGTCTCACAATGTTCAAAAACCAATAGATAAATGAAGAAGCTATAGAGTAAATAATCTAGAGAAAGGCATCTACCATGGAGACTTACATTTTTTTCATATGTGTCATCACTTCTCCAATGTAGTTGGGGATTTCGCCAGTAATCATGCAATTTCTAAGTATCCTAGAGAAAACAATGAATACCCCATGAGTGAAAAGAACCACAGAGATCACTATACAATTAGACAAATCATATTTCAACTCACAATTCATTTATCTGTGTCAGGTCTTTGAGGTCAGGAAAACTCATATTTGATCCATTCAGGTCAGACACCCTCCTGAAATTTAAAATCCTTAAGATCAGAAAGCTCATAGTGTCATTATATCTTTTGTCTTAGAAATTTACATGTAAAAGAACTCCACTAGACTAATCATAGAAGTCAAATGAGACCAGAATCTTGACTCACAGTTGAATTAAGCTTTTCAAGGAGGAGACTGTAGAAGGAAATGGTCCCTCCAAGGATGTTCCTTGCATATCCCTGCAACAGTTTGAATTAGTGTTGACACAAATTTCGTGTACTGAATTTACACAAAACATGGAGACAAATTACAAATGAAATTTTGTAACGAAGAAAATACAGTAAGATTTAACCCACATTAATTCTGCTTGATCACATAAGCAACCTCTAATTAATAGTCGAAAATGGTGAAGACAAGGGTCATCAGTGTCATTCTCATGGTTCTTGAAGTGTTGATGTAATTTTCTTCACTCCAGGCTTTGTGCTTCGTTGGTTGTGAAGAGTGCTTCTCTAAGGACTTTTCTTGATGGGTTGATCTTCCTTGAAAGTTTGAGTCCAGGTGTGAAGTAGAGACAAGAAATTGTGTTTCTTCCTTCTCTCTCTTGAACTTTAAGTAGTGTTGGGTTTTGCAAGTGCTTGTGATTGCTTGCAATACTCAAGTATGTTTAAAGAGAGCTTCTTCTCCCTAGGCATTGTCATTTACAACCTAGGATTAGGGATGCCACCTCAGCCCACTTGCTGACCAATCCCATGTAAGTGGGATGTTGGTTAGGGTTAACTCCTATACATGCTTCATTATGTAGGAGCTAATGTGATTGCCAAAGGAACCACTCTATTACAATAGGACATGGACCTAATTAAGCTTATACACTTGGATCCTTAGGCCTTGGATCATGTTTACTTAGGCTTTGGGCCTATGGAAGCCCTTTATAGGGCCCATTTGTAAGAAAGAGCCTGTTTGTGGACTTCTAAAATTTTTTATACCTATAAATGCCCCTTCAAGGATGTGGTGACAGAGGTTTGTACATTTCCAGCATCCTCGATAGATGTTTCCAAGGTTGTAAGACTCAAACCATCTCTAACGACCTCCTTATTACTTGGAGCATGTCACTTCATTTCATCTAAGAATTTACAAAAATGAATGCCAGATGTGGTGACCAAATTTAGAAATGTCATGAACTTGTTTGCAAGGTGAAGCTTCAGAAGGCCGTCAGCTAAAAGATTGGCACCTAGAGGCTAGCATTGTAATTGCAATCCTAGTTGACCCGATGACTTTTCATTGCCATAAGTACCAATATTCTTTGGGGTGTGATAGCTGACATGAAGTTGTAGAGTGAATTTCCAAATTGCAAAGGATATCGTGCATTTTATTTCGTTAGAACCACCTCCTTTCTCTTGTGAATAGAGGAAATATATGTAGGTCATTAAATGGACACTTAATCACATATGGAAGGTGTAAACACCAAGTTCTAGTGACATGCCTTTCCTTCTTAATTGGCTAAGTAAATTATTTATGCATGATGCATGTCAACAGCAGGAATCAGTTTGTCTTTGATGGAGTCATGATAAAGAACACATGGCAAGGAATCACATGACATTGTATGACCTCACCCACCTGGGAAGTTAATTGTAGTGTGATCTGCTTGTGACCTGCAACTTTCTTCATCTTGAGTCGTTTCATGTACATAATGCTCTCCACTATGAAAATTTATTGCAAATTGAGTTGAGATAGGATCCTGTTACCGTTTGAATCCCCAGTGTTACAGGTTAACCAACATGAGAACAGTCTCATAGTTTGAATGGGATACAAGATAATGAATGGCACAAGCTTTGAGATGTTTTGAGGTGGGCCCTCCTCTTCTTTTCATCTATCCTCTACTCTTAGTTATGATAGAGTAGAAAGGGGAAGGCCTCCAACACACCTGCATCTACTTCTTGGTTGTACTGCATAACTCTATTGTAGAGTTCAAGTGATAAATGACTTGTTTGACAAGAACCAAATCAGGCACAAAATCTGCTTTATTTATATACCCTCAAACACCCTTTTCTTCTTCTTTGTTTTGTAGTCTCATAGGCACAATTTGTAATCTGTAAATCGCACCCAGCAACAGTAAAACAGCAAAAAGAGAAGCCTTGAAACAGAAAGAAGAAGAGAGAAGAAGAAGATAATGACGGAGAGGAGAAAAATTGATAAGCAGGACAAGAAACTTAACATCTGCCCTAATAAAACACTTAGGGTCCATTTGGTTCATGGTCGGAATCCGAATCAAAATGGTCTATTCCCCTCTCCAGTTTGGTTCAGAACTTCAGATGGGAATCAGAATTGACTGGAATGGGATTCTCATTCCCAAGGGACGAGAAGGGAATGGGGGAATGCCATTCCACCAGGAATGGGAATGGGATTCTGATTCTGCCCAACCAAACAGTTGGAACCGGAACAATAAAAGGACCATCATACCCCTGCTGCCCTAATAGTGGTAAGGTCCCAAATAACTTATACGACAGTTCAAAAATAAAACACCTAAACCAGGCCCATTAACCCAAAAAGAATAAAAAAGACACTAACAAAAGACTAAAAATATACTAGGCCCAACCCATAAACCAGCTGGCCATACAATATAGCCCATTACACCTATAAACTCAACATTCCCCCTCAAGTTGGGTGTGGACAATAATAACACTCAACATTCTAACATCATTCTTCAATTTATTTGTTGCAACTCCCTTTGTAAATGTTGAGTGAGGGCAATTTTGTAATTTTGGGCTTATTGTAATAAGGAGCACTCTTAAGGGGACATTGGTAATTGTCATAAATATAATCTTGTCTAGGGTCTGAGAACAATTCACTCTGTCCGTCCAAATCCCTTCTCCTTTCTTCTCTTCCTACTCTTTCTTCTCATTTCCTCACAAACTCTCTATCTCTAACAACTTGGTATTTGAGCAAGACCAAGGGAAACTTTTGCTCTTCTTCTGCTGGTTGTGCCAGCTAGGATGGCCTGCTGATGTTAGCATGCCACTGGATGATGTTATCAGTTTGTTCCAGTGTTTTCGAACCGTCATTGACCCGGATGGTTGGACCATTCGGCCCAGAAACCATCCAAGCAACTTGTTCCATTTCATCCTTAACCCGTTCCTGGGCTAGAAACCATAGATTTGGTCAAAGAACCACTGACCTGGGTGGTCAAACCGTCAACCCGGACAGCAGTTTGCAGTTTAACAAGGAGGCAGAGGAGATTCAAATATGATGGTCTGAAACAAGAATGAAGAATGATTTTAGATCTGAGATCGTCCTAGAGAGAGCGAGAGAGAGGGTGAGATTGAGATTGCAGGGAAATCAGATCTGAGATCTGAGATCTCAGTTCTCAGATCTCAGATCTGAGTTCAGAGAGAGATTCGATGCTTGGATGCTGCGTTGCTGTTGCCTCTGCTTTCTTCCCTCCTTCCTTCCTTCTTTTCTTTCCTTTCTCTCCTTCCTTTCCTTTTTTTCCTCTCTCCTCCCTCATCTCTCTTTCCTTTCTTTCTTTCTTTCTTTTTTTCTCAGCCGAGTGCCAACCAGATATATCTCTTTCTCTTAATAAAAGACTAAACCGCCCGAACCGTTTGACCCGAATTGTTGAACCGCTGACCTGAAAACCGGTGGCCAGAACGGTTCCGTTTCCGGGTCGGTTTTTAAAACCTTGGTTCGTACGGTAGGTGGCAACTCTGCATAATGAACACTCTATCTAGGGCATTCCTTGATTTTAGACGAATTTTGGTATGGTTTGGTTTGAAGATTAGAGACTGTTTAGTTTTTTCATTCTTCTTTTTTGAATTTTATGGATTAGTAGTAGTGAAAATTGAAGATCTGAAGTTGCAACTTGTGTGATTGATTGAGGCAATGCTAGTGAACGAGACCAGTTGTATTTGATCCGTGCCATATTTCATGACTCTTAAGAATGTGGTTTTGTAATTATCTAAGACTTGGAAATTTTTTTCAAAATTTTTCTTCTCTTGCTTTTCTGCCAGCCCTAGTTTCCCACCTTTTTTGCTGTCAATTTGTACGCGAACCCGGCATTAGGGTTATAGTGTTGGCAGCAAGTGTTGTGATGGTGTTTTGGGTTGGTAAGAGGTGTTTGAAGAGATGTTCAAAATCAATGGATTTCAAAATTTTTTCTTCTCTTGTTTTCTGTCAGCCCTAGTTTCCCACTTTTGGGTATTGTGATGTGGACAGAAAAACAGGTTATATGAAGCAATTCAAGTGTATACAATAAGCAAAAAAATACCAAGATGAAAACAACAAAACTAGTTGGCTTCTTAGGGATTTCAGATCTGAACCTGAAGTAGTACTCCGCTTAGAACAATTCTTCTATAGTAACAATGGTATCAAGCTGGCTTCTCGTTCAAACACATAGTGATAGAGGTATTGGTAAGTGCCAAAATGGGTTGACCCCCCAAAACCCAAGCTCTCAATACTTGAAAACTCTAGCTAGGCCTAAGCTACAACTCAAATAAGAGAGAAAGAACCAAAAAGATCCCCACAGAAGCAGCCCCCCGTCCCCC